TCCTCGACTCTGTCTTTTGATTTCTCTGGGTGGGAACGAAATATATTGGAAGATGTTACTGGTAGAAGCGTTGTCAAACACTGAATACCTGTGACATCATCAACGTCTATACTGTAATGAGTAGAGGTTAAGTGATTGGATGCGCTCTTCATAAAGTGATTTGGTGCATATCCTCGTCATTACATTGGGAGACCTACAGACTCGGGTCCTCTCATAGCTTGTTCTAACCACCATGGGTTGTCACGCGTTACACATCCTAACCGTATCTGCTTCTTATCTTATAGCTTCTAATTCAAATGCCATATGACAAGCAAGCAATGCCCCTACCCGCACTAATGGAACACTAATAACTCAAATGAACTCCGTATGGTACCTTACACTGGTTTACCCACTCGCTTAGCTCTTTAGTGAAAATCCCATGAACCCCCCTACCTCCATCAAAACAAATAAGTCTGTATTTGCAGCATATAGCAATTTCATTATTAAAAAGTAAGATATAACAGTTAGAGTTGGAGTAAAATGGCAGTATACAGCAGATGCACGTGGTACATGTCTTCATGGATTAACTGAAATAGAGAATACGGATATTAGCTTAACAGCCTTATTTAGAAAGACTAGTGTCTAATTTGAACTTACTGCGTGAGAAAGTTATACTGGAACTACGAATGTTGTAGAAATAGTTTCTCGGGGCGTACGAAGCACTCAGACTGTAAGATAGTTGTCCAAAAATAATTCGAATATGAAGGTGAAAATTTGCAGGTACTTTTCATCGTAAGGGTGAACATATTAGGTACCAGTTGACATCATACCGTAAGAAAACACAAATTTGCGAGTGGTGAAATATAATCTATAAAAAAGTGAGCTTAATAACAGTTAATTACCTTTTTACTCCCTGATTATGACCCTTCGGCTTCCTTTTATGGCCAAAACAGCAAACATACACTAGACACTGGTAGCAGATTTCCGGCTTTTCAATGTTAAGCTTGCTTTAACGCACTGAGTAATGAGTACAACCCCTCTATTACTGTTATATGGCATATTTTTCATAACAAACCCTCTACAACAGATTGGTGGCATCTGTGACCTCATCTATAGTTGTCGGAAGTCTGGGTCCTTCCGAAATCAGTACCCATATACCCTACTGCTGGGCACTCTATATTAGTTTGACTCGTTGGTGGGATAGTGTTGTCCATAATACTGAAGAAAATTAAAAAAAACGCAGGTTGTTTCCTTTCATTTTGCCGATAACATCATAAAGGACAGTTAAGAACGAACATGCGAACAGTTAGAGTCACAGGCGGCAGCAACAATTATTTTAGCTAAATGAAGACGAACTTCGGCTTCGGATATCTAGAAAACAAGGTAAAACATAACTGATTGTCGTTTAAAAACGTAAGGTCTTATGTTAGTACTAGCCAGCTTACCTGAATAGATACAGTGACTTCATTAGCAGCAGGTGAAACCCAGAAAACAAAGCAAAATCAGGAGAAATTTTTGCTCCAGCGTTCAGAGTATTACACTAACTTCTGGATTTTAGCACACTGAAACATCAAATTCCGTAGCTACACAAAAGAAATAGCAGAAAAAACACAGAACGAAGAAAGCCGGCCGACATTTTATAACACAAGACTAGCCAGATTGCCTGAAGAAATACATTGACTTGAGTAGAAGCAGCAAAAACCCAGCAAACATCGCTGATTCGAAATAAAATTCACACCAACATATAGAACATTACACTAACTGCGGCATTTTAGCACACTGAGACATTAAATTACATAGCTACACAAAAGAAATAGCTGAAAGAAGCACAGAACGAAGAAAGCCGACCGCCATTGCTTACAAAGATGGCGGATGTAATAATTCCTGCCTCGTTCTGATTGGTTGATAAGCTGAAGGGCACATTTACGAAATTGAGTTGCGTTTAATTGCAGCCCTTCCAGAGATGTTCTGTTGCATAATGGCTCCTATGGCAAAATCCGATGTATCAACCGCTATACTGTGCGTGTCTGATGAGTCTGGATGTGCGAGAAGTGTGACTTGAGCAAGGGCTGTTACGATCTCTGAGAATGCAGTACGTGCCACATCATTCAATTATAATTTGCGTCGATTACCGCGATTTAAGTCGGTTAATGGTCGTAACCGTTCTGCCGCGTGTGGGATGAAATGTCGGTAGAAGTTAACCAAACCGAGAACTGCCGACAGTTTCTCGAGTGACGGCACGGTGTACTCTTGTTGCACGTTCTTTGTCTTCACAAGGTAAAATACCCTCTTGCTTAATGATGTGACCCAAAAACACTATTTCCGATTTGCCCAATCCACACTTGTCTGGGTTGACTGCTAATCCATTATCCGAGAAACGTTGGAATAGGAGTGTAAGGTGTTGATAATGTTCATCTACGTTTGATGATGCGATTAGCAGGTCATCAATATAGACGTGAACAAAATTTAACTCCCGTACTATGCTATCGATAAACGTTTGGAAAGTTTGGGCATTCGTAGGAACTCAAAAAAATCAAAAGGAGTCGTGATAGCGGTTTTCTCAAAACCTTCACGAGCGACTGCGGTCTGATGATATGCTCGTACCAAATCGATCTTAGGAAAGATAGCGTGCCCTTGAGCGATGCTGTGATGTCGTGTATGTGGAGGGTGGGATAACTATTAAAGCGCGTAACTACGTTTAATGCTCGCATGGTCTCCAGCTAACCCCATTCTTTTCGCGCACCATATGAAGAGGTGAGGATGACGAATAATACCAGCAACTATTAGATTCTCAAACTCACGTTTAACGAAGGCTAATTTGTCCGGTGCCAGTCGGTGTGGTCTTGCCGTGACTGGTGGTCCGCGGGTGACTATGTGGTGTACCTCACGGTTGGTCACCGATGGAATCTCCTCGAGTGGTTTAGTTAATGTGGTGAATTTCTCGAATAGAACATGGAGTTCATCGTTACGCGAATAAAAAGTGCCTAGGATTCGGTCTATTATAATAATACTATTCTTATCGTTATCCGTCATCACAAGTTGTTGCCAGAATATTATATATTGAAAAATATCAATATGAAAATGTGCAACAGACGTGGATAGATAAGTAATAGACTCACCGCAACTAGCTTCTTTGGAAGATTTGACCAGAGGTTGAGAAATGTTCGTACTTTTGGGTTCACCAATTGTAGCGTGGAGTCGAGTCGCGATTGAGTATGAACACCACTACAAGAAAGCACGTACCAGAGAAACCAGAAGATGAAGATGGAGCGTAAACTGATTTATTTCGTTGGCGATCTCGTGGTATCGAACGAATACCGAGATCGTACCAAAAGGGATACAAGCGGGATTAGTGGACGAGAGTACAAGCGTACAAGGTCACAGTCCACAGGAAAGTAATGGAGAGTAATGGAATAGTAATATGGCTGTCCTTAGCACAGTTAAACAAATGAGCACAGTAAAACGATCACTGGTACAATTGGTTATAATAATGATGGTTTCCATTAAACCCATCGCGTTCTCTTGATAAAAGTAGGTCACCACTATTCCTCTTGTATGTAAATGACCTTCCTCGTCTCCTACCATCATCGGTCTTGCTATATGCTGACGATGTCAAGATATGGAGAACGATACGATGTAAGAGTGATAGCTTAGAACTCCAAAATGACCTGAAGAAAATATCTGAGTGATCTCAAACCTGGCAGTTACCGATAAATACTTCCAAGTGTGTCGTGATGCATATCGGTCATCAAGGTACAGATACATACACGATGAATAACACCGAGCTACCTGTCGTCCAGACATATAATGACTTAGGAGTTATCGTTAGCCAAAACCTTAAGACTACTGCGCACTGCCGTGCAATAGCCGCCAAAGGTTTTAGAACCTTATGGTCAATATGTAGGGCTTTTAGTCATGTCGACGCCAAGACGTCTTTGACTTTGTATACAGTGTTCGTACGTCCTAAACTTGAGTACTGCATACAAGCGGCTAGCCCCTGTTTAAAAAAGACAGTGAGCTTCTGAAAAAGTCCAGAGATCGGCGACTGAGCTGATTCCCGGAATGGCGAAGCTTCCGTATGAAGTTCGACTGGCCAAGCTGAACCTTTTCTCCGTTGTCATATAGCAGGACTAGAGGCGACTTGATTACAGTCTTGAAATTGCTTAGTGATAAATTTGCACCTAATATGGCCTCATTTTTCTTGTCTTCCAAAACAGAGAATTTACGAGGACATTCCAAAACAGTTCACAAGCCCAGAACAAATTACTTGTCAGCTGACTATCGACTTTCCCATCGAATCATCAACGAGTGGAATTCATAACCTCAGCACGTGGTTGAGGCTCCATCCGTCGACTCATTCAAAAGAAAGTTGGATCAACTGAGAGACCACCATTGCCAGGACTAACAGGAGGCTATCAAGCCTCTTATCCTTCTCAAAGTAAAACTGAAACCTAAAGTGAATTATCACTTCGTCGTATCAGGATTCTATGGCTGCTTTGAAGACCATATAACGCAAACGACGTAATTACGGAGATGTATTGATAAAAGTAGGTAAGGGGGAGAAGTCGCGATCACCACCTCATAAATCAGTCCATGGCGTGCAATTATTGGTTGACCTTGACCTTGAAGTGGATCGATGAATTGTTCGACATTCAGTGACCTAACTGCCGGATTATTTGGCTAGGGTTCAATGCTATTCCACTCACCCTACAAATATAATGCTTGACATTTGATAATCAAGTGTCACGCCACTGGGACAAATGCATACGTTTTTACTCGAACCTCCAAATAACTCAGAAATGAGATTAAAATAGTGTATTCGGGTGACTAGACTAAGTTTACTGGGAGCCATGAAAGCCATGAAAAACGTATTTGAGAGAAATAAATTCGTGCGAACGAACCAAGTGATATAGATTAACTTGTCTCAAACATCTTGCAAATTGAGTCGAGGTGAATGGCGTTTGAGCTCACTGTGGTATTCTACCGCGCAGTTTCGAATTTCTTGTTCCTCAGCTGTACAAATGGCCTTAAGGCGTATATCTAAAGTAAGAACGTGTTCAGTGTTTTGTGCAGCAGAATTGTTTTATTAAGGAGTTACAGGACTTAAGTGTAGATCCTCCAACCCAGTGTTCAGCTGGACCTATTCACGATGATCGTAAGTCATTATATGTTGTATTAGTTTATATTTAGTATTTGCCTGGCAAGCCACTATTATGGGACCTGTATGTTCGTTTATTCCGTAATAATGTGCCTGTAGGCCGATAGTCCATATGAAGGTGGAGTCTTTTCCCTGAAAATACTATTTCCCACAGACTACCCTTTCAAACCCCCTAAAGTAAGCGTTGTATCACTCTCAAGCCAGCCTTGTGGCAGATCAGTTTCATGACGAAAATATATCATCCGAATATAAATCCCAGTGGTAGTATCTGCTTAGATATCCTCCGTGGACAATGGTCACCAGCCCTCACAATATCGAAAGGTAAACATTCATATATAAATACTCAATTTGTGTCTAAATTAGTTCTACTCTCGATTTGTTCACTATTGACGGACCCTAATCCAGATGATCCTCTATGCCCAGATGTCGCACGTCAGTACAAAACAGATCGTAAGAAATATGATGAGTTAGCTCGAGAGTGGACACAGAAATATGCTATGGATCCTTGATACGGCACTACACAAAACATTTCGATAGACATATTTTCTCCTTTCTTCTTGTACTCATTGATGACGTACGTGTTACATTTAAAGTCGGTTGATTTTTTCAGCCCTCGAGTAACCTTACTTTCTTATTCTATTCTTACTGGTTTGTCACTTGTGCGTTTGTGAAAATGCTTTTAAGGTTGTCGCGAGTATTTCTTCTTTTTTCGAACTAGACTTGTGCCGTGTTTAGTGACAGTTGGCGGTACAGGTTGGTTCACTCAGACGTTTTCATTTGTTTAAATATTTAATTGTATCAATTCACTTTACGAGAAATTCATTACTTGAGCAATTGCTGCTCGTGATACTCATCATCTAATCTTCTCAGAATTTAGTAATCTGTTTATATTTGACCAAAGCTATTAAAACTTGTGTTTATTCAAGAGATTGCTTTAAGGAAAAGTCTGATTTCATGTTGGGAAGAAGATTGCATCAATGAGAGTATCGGATTTTATGGCAGTCTAATCTTGTTTTTCAGTAGTCTGTTTACTCGTGTTAAGGCGTGTATTTTCGTTAGCATAATACGCTTATTAGTTTGTATGAGGTTTTTAGTGACGATCCTAAGCATAGTTCTCTAGTTACTTTATATAACTACTGTTTCCAATTAATGTCCCTGCATGACTATCGTATTCTGACAAAATTAAAGCGGTTCATTATCTCATGTTGACTGCCATAAAACGGCCATTACTACTGTAAACTAATGTATCGTAGCAAGTCGAATAATAACTGAATCCTTTCATGGTTAGCAATTCTACTTCAGTAGACCAAATATTATAGCTTTGAGAAACGCATCAGCTCTGTTGAGCCTTAATAGAAATAGTTTAGCATAATCTAGTTAATGATATTGTTACCGGAAAACCTTATCGAGACCTACTTTGGTACTTCTGATTTGTTTTGTTGTTAGCATCGGTTCGAAATAGTTTAGTTGCAAGTGGATTTTTGAAATCTTGCACCCATCTTCTCACCTGTTTTATAAACATAAACAACTACTTTCCTCATTTGACAGTATTTTGCCGTAGTTGTATATTTTATGGATAGTACTGTCGACCAATACAGTCCGTAATTTTTGTTACTGTGTAGTTACAACATCGTTTTTCACTCTTCAATGTAGTTATTTCTACTCAATACACAATTGGACCTGATACTTATGGTAATGTAAGCAATTTGTAACAGTCTTCCGAGTTGATGCACACCATTTGAGATGTGATTTCTAAGCTCGAATCTTTTGTTTGTTGAGATCAGAATCCACAAGTTCAAATTTTACTCGGTGATCCGCATATCTAGAACTGGTTATCATCATGTTGTCTATGTATAGCTTTAACGGTCTTGCTTAACAAGTTAATTCAGAACAGGCTTTGGTCTTCTGATAATTATCTTGCCCATTTCTTCACGCGAACTCTTGGTACTTTCGTTTCTGAAGTAAGCATAAATAGAACTTTCAGTGCACTTGAAATTACGTTAATGAATATTGTTGGTTATTAATAATATATTTATGGACAAGAGAACCATGTAGTGTGCATTTTCGAGCCTTACCAAGTCCTGTCATACTGCAAATAGTTAGATTTTAGGGATCTGACGATGCTATAATGCGAGTTGGATGTCAGCACGAATGGAAGAACTTATTGTGGGTAGTGAGAACGGTAACGGCACATTTATGTTTAGGAAATAATTCTGTCTTAGCATGAGGTCGTTTGTACTTTCCGAATTGAAATATATATTTTATGCAATTCGAGGAAGTTTGTTTTGCTTATACTTTTTCGAAATCCATAGATTATAAGCTTCTGTCATGCGGTAATTCATCCACGAAAATAGCCGTTATTTTAAAAATTTCACCGTCATTAGAGTGCGACCACCCATAAGTCATGTGTCTGGAGGAAGTAATTTCCTCGAAAATCTGTAACCTAGGCGTGCCCTCTACTCCCTAAGATCGTTTTCTAACTATAAACTGTGCAGAGGACTAATGAGGAATATGCTCGTCCTTTGCTTATCAGACGGTTTTCTCGCCTACGCGAAGGCTAACCAACTTTTCTGAATCCTTGACATGATTGTCATATAACAACCGACCATGGTTCATGAGACTCCTGAGATAAGTAATGTATGTATGTTTCATCTATGCATATTTGACGGGAATAATAGCTTTATAGTGAAGAGGTTTTCAGCAATATAATTAGAATGAGTAAATTTATGGTGCCTCAAAGTAACGGTGATGTCGTCACTGAAGTAAGTGGTGTAGTTCCAAATTATATTGTTGGTGCACCGAAAAGTGTGATGAGATTCTACCACATCCTGACACTTGTTAAAGCCTCTTCGTCCGAATCTGAATGCACAGTGTTTTAGATTCGAACAAAACAGTCAGTCTATTTTCCGAACTTTAGTAGCGTAAAGTAAGAAGACAATTTGATTCGACAATGAATATTATTTATTTGCCCAATGCACTCTGAATAACAGTCTGATCATATTTATTTACAATTGATTGATCACCGGGTAGTGATCAGTGCTATGTGAGTCAAGTCTTTCTTAGTAGTGCTGGTTAAATGTGGTCATCGACGTCGCGTGCATTATGTTAAAACAGGATGGTGTTTAGAGGTGGCTATCAGGAGACGTTAGACCTAGGTTTTGTGATGCATGGTACTCCTCAACAAGGTGTAACTGTAATGTCACCGGTAGCCCGAATTGCGTGGTACTAATGTCCTTGATTGTGAATTTAATTGTAACTGGTGACCGGATGTGTTTTTGCAGCATCAGTCCCTTCAAAATTGCAGGCACACCTTGTTCGAGGGTGTAAGATATCACTGGACTTAGGTTAAGCTGTGGATCCTGCCGACTGCTTTCGGCTGCCACCTTAAATGATGTTACGTATATTTGTCATTTAAATATGGAAGCTAACGAAGGATGAGTAATTGTGTAATGTGCTGTCATTGTGAACAACGGAGAGAGAGAGAGTGTGTGTTGTATGATGTCGATAAAATAAGTTTTTATATCATTCTAAGCATTGAAGTTGATTTACCAGGTTATGGGATGCAAGTTTAGGACAAATTATTTTTGTACTCATTGTCCTATAATCCACACATCCTTCGATTTGCATTTATCTTTTAGTCGGTTGACATTCATTGTTTCTTCTCGCTGTGTATGTGTAAATGTCTTGAGTATGTATGTGATCTTTGATGGAAATGTCTACTGTACATATATATAACACCAGGTTTTCACTGTGAACTGTCTTTTTAATAGTACTAGAAGTGGGAATTTGTGCTTACTGTCTGATAATCCCAATGAATTATTATATTAAAACTGTAAGCATTCAATTTCTAGACTTAATTGTATTTTGAGGATTTCAGAGTACTGGTGATCAAACTGTACAGACTATTGTTAATTCATTGTCTATATACTCTATAATTTATTTTGAACTTTACTCGAGTGGACAATATTGAGGCGAGTTTCAGAATAATGAGTAAATCTGGAAATTGGTTGACGATGTTGTTGCTGTAGTGAAGCTTAATTGATCACGTTGTATGAAATATGTATCATGTAACCGAGCCTCCTTTCACCTCACATTTAGATGTCGATTGTTATGTAGGTGTTTTTGAAGAATGCTAAGTGTGTGTAGATTCAAAAGTGGTATCATTCCATGAATTCACTGAGTGTTGGACTGAGTTTAACGTGTAGGCGTAGATTACTTAATTAAGGTTCGAGTGGTTATCGTGACCATCGATTAGAATTGTTGAATGACATAACTGAGAATCGGTCGCAATGATTCACGTAGGTGGATTGACAGTTCGTTTACCCATTGGATTTGCAAACTATTTTATGCTGCAATTTCATTCCTTCTACTCGAGTCATAACGCCGATGTCTAGTGTTTCGTACTCTCACTGATACTGTTACCACTTTCTTGCCCCCTGAATGCCCTGGTACGGCCGAGAGTGGGGAGAGTCCGCTCTCCCTCTCGAAATACTCTCACACGGCCACGCGTATACAGCCTCTGCCAGGGAAGTCCTACTCATTGCCTTCTCGTGGCGGGGGTGTTGTTTACGAAAATGAGAGGACGAAAAGCGAATGTCCGGCGCTTTAACCGGATTCCAAACCAATGGTGCACATGGGCTCCAGTATCCTGCGGGAACGAATGGCGTATGAACCAATCGTTGGTCACCGGCTACCATGGGACTGCATCTCCTTACGATGCTCCACTGCCTTGTGGGTTAGACCTTTAGGTCAAAGGCTCGGGGAGTGGCCCCCTAAGATAACCACCTGCTTCGGTTTGGGCACCCGGGCAGTATCACAGCCCACACACAAATGATGAACTGTTTATGTCTATGGAAACTACTTTTGTCGCTTTGAAAAACAATCAATTGATTCAAATTATGATCACTACAATTATTGTCATTATTAATACTAATATTATTATTACTACTATTATTGTCATTATTGTTATTATTATCATTATTATTATTATTTTTCCA